CTAACGCCCTAACCCTAAATTTCCACATTAACATTAACACAAATTTTAATTTTTATAATATGTATTTGTATAACGTAAGATACAATTAAAAATATTACAAACAATACGTCCCTTCAATTACCTTATCTTTTATTTTTATAATAAAAATGACATCTACCATTAATGTTAATGAGAATATAGAAGTAGAGAATACTTGTTCTAATTCAGATAAGAACTCTATATCCGAAAAAAAGAAACCAGTATTATTAAATTTATTAAATTACGAATCCGAAATTACAAAGATTATCAATAATGTTAAATGTTCTAAAAAAACGAAAAAAGGTATTCGGGAAATTACTGGAGAATATCGATTTGATAAGAATATTGGAGAATCGACTACATGGGAAATTAATAAAAATAATCAGCTTTCAGTATACAAAACTGATCAGGAAGGTAATAATGTACCGATCAACTTCGATTGGTTTGTGAAAGAAGACGATTGCCTAGGAACTTATTTATTACCCAATGATTATTTAATCGTGATTACAAAAAATTACTTAATGATACTTGCTGAAACTGTTCAAAATAAGATACAAATTATCTATTATATTAAGACAAAGAATATAATCGAACAACAACGATGTATTACTAAGAAAATACCAACAAATTTATGGGATATTTGGTATTTTAAAAGTGTATTAGATATTATTGATCAAGAATCGGATATAAATACTGCACGGTATCTTAGAGAGATGCTAACATTATATCTCGATGATATTGATACTTTCGCTCACTGGTCACCGTATATTGTTCAATCTATTTTTGATAATACTGATGAACGAATATATAGGAAGCATGATAATGAGATAATAGATCATATTATTGATAATTGTATAAAGTATTATTATGAAGATAGCAAACGATTAAGCCTATTTTCTGCTATTACAAGTTCAATTTCAGAACTTCAAGAATTATATCCATATTACGTTACAAAATTTTTTGTTTGCACTTCTATAATTAGCCTTGTAGATGTAGAAATTAAATATACGCCTTATTCACATCTTCATGGATTTACTGACGAAAAACATATTTCTAAATCGAAAGCTAAATTTAAATTGAAAGAATTTATATGTTATATATACAAATGCTTTAGTATAGATTCATTTTTGGATGCATTTATTGGACTAGTCATTGGATTAATCATTGGATTAATTATTGCAATTTTGGCTTGGCGTATCGGTACAGTATTACATAATATGTAAATTCATCCCCATTATTTAATAAGCGACAAATATGTCCCCTTAATTTTAACTAGTGGTCCATCTGGTCCTAAAACCACCGGTCTTTAGGCTAAACCGGATCAAACTGCGGTTTAGGATCAAGTAGGACCGATTAGAGTCAGATCGGATGAAGTGGTTACTATATTAGTTAAATTACATAAATTTTTCCAAGGGATCGCTAAAATTAACTATCTAATTTCCCGAAAAGGTCAAAATCCCGACAGATTAGCCCACATTAGGGTTAGGGTTAGCATAGTGTTAGTTAATTTTTGTCGGGATTTTGTTTGTCGGGATTCTGTTTGTCGGGATTCTGTTTGACCCAAACCTTATCTTACATATTATTTAAATGGTATTATTTCCTGACAGCCTTTTGACCGACAGACATTTTGGGCCCGATTTAGGGTTAGGGTTAGTCAGATCAGATTTGCAGCTAATGTTGGCTACAGATTTATTGTCGGTAATTTGTACCAAAACCTATATGTTAGGCCACTGTGGAATTTGATAAATAGAAACCCATAAGCCGTAGCTCTGGTCAACTTTGCAGATCATTTGGCCAGCTTTGAATTCTAACAACTTCAAAAACTGACCTAATGATCTGCAAATTTGACCAGAGCTACGGCTCATAGTATTTATCAAATTCCAATATGTAATGCAAGTATTACATATATGATTGGCTCAAATTTATTTAACTCCAAATGAAGCGTAAAATCGGAAAATTTTAATAGAACCATACGATCCAACGATCCATCCTAAAAAATTTCAGATCGCTTCGATCTTTGGATGGATCGTAGGATGGGGTGTGCGACTAGGGATGGGTTCGGTTACGAACGGTCATAATTATTCATAGCCAATTTTCTAATTACTGAAAGGATTTTTTACTTTTGAGCTTTTAATTAAAGT